ACCTGCTCCGCTCCATGAAGAGGGCCTTGGATGCACCTGCCGACGAAGAGTTCCCGGTAAGAGCTCTTTCCCTTCGTCCGCTGCTCGAGCCTCTGTTATGGTGCAGTACCTTGCGTGACGATGGAGTTGGCAGGCTTTGCTCTCATTTCGTGTCGCGGGAAGGCCTTCTGGTGGGGCAGCTATGACTGGCTTCATTTCGTCTTGTTTCAGGATTGCCAAGGACTGTACACAACGCCCTCGCCTTCAACTACACCAGAACCCACTCCCAGCACCGCTGCACCCACTACCAGCACCGCTGAACCCACTCCCAGTACTGCTGCACCCACTCCCAGCACCGCTGAGCCCACTCCCAGCCCACTCCAGCACTGCTGCACCACTCCAGCACTGCTGAACCCACTCCTAGCACTGCTGAACCCACTCCCAGCACTGCTGCACCCACCCCCAGTACTGCTGAACCCACTTCCAGCACTGCTGCACCCACTCCCAGTACTGCTGAACCCACTCCCAGCACCGCTGCTCCCACTCCCAGCACCGCTGAACCCACTCCCAGTACTGCCGAACCCACTCCGAGCACAGCTGCACCTACTCCTAGCACAGCTGCACCCACTCCTAGCACCCAGTCACCAAGTTCTGTCACTCCTAACCCAGGTCACCCCAGGCCTGACTGCACCCAGCACATTGACGGCTCAGTTTTCCCTCACGATGATTGTAACAAGGTAAAATTGTTTCATGGTTGTTCAGAGAGGGAGAGGAGGAGAGGGAGAGGGAGAGGGAGGGGAGGGAGAGGAGAGGAGAGGGAGAGGGAGAGGAGAGGGAGAGGGAGAGGAGAGGAGAGGGAGAGGGAGAGGGAGAGGGAGGGGAGGGAGGGGGAGGGAGGGAAGAGAGAGAGGGAGGAGAGGAGTGAGAGGGAGGGAGAGAGAGAGAGAGAGAGAGAGAGAGAGAGAGAGAGGAGAGAGAGAGAAAGAGAGGGAGGGAAGAGAGAGAGAGAGAGAGAGAGAGAGAGAGAGAGAGAGAGAGAGAGAGAGAGAGAGAGAGAGAGAGAGAGAGAGAGAGAGAGAGAGCACACATCATGCTTCATTATCATTACAAAGAATTTTAGGGGTAACTAGTATTACCAAAACCCTTTTCAAACCACAGAGAATGATCACGGTGAAGAATGATCACTTGCTTCCATCCTAACTGTACATGAAAAAGTTATTCTCACCTCATGCACTGTAATTTGTAGAAAGTCGCCATGTTCGAGTGTTACGTTAAAGCTATATCATGTTGTCATTACTTACAGTACTGGCTGTGCACAAATGGCCAAGCTATTTTAGAAATGTGCAGCCCTGGTACTCTGTTCGACGAGGACCTCATGATCTGCAACTGGGAGAACAGCGTTGACACCTCCAACTGCAACAATTGGATCTGCGAAGTCGACAACACTTACTACCCTCACGCTGACTGCGACAAGGTAATGCTGGCGAGTCTGACGAGTTCCTGGAAAATCCCGAGATGATCTGATTGTGTATGTTATATAAGGCGATTTTGAAGTTTAAAAAATTCCAAGGGATGTTTTAATCAGGCAAAAACCATTCATGAATCTACTATACGGTATATGTAGAAAATGTGCAAGTGTGCTCATCGTATCACTGTATATTTTTCAGTATTACTGGTGCCACAACGGATCACCCCATGTGGAACAGTGCGCGGACGGTTTGTTCTGGAACCAGTACCTTACACAGTGTGATTTCCCGAGCCATGTGGACACTTCAAACTGCAACATAGTCTAATTTGTTGATCTTTTTAAACGCAAGTAAAAGTCCTTAGAAGATGGTTCAGGCAATGGGGCATCCATCCTTGAAAGAATGATACACATCTGTAAATGGTTCAATGGTTTTATTTTCCCCAGACATATATGTTGGATTTCCTTGAAAATGGCGTCACTTTATATATTTTCCGAGTTATTTTGGATCATGAAAAATCTTGTCTTTTTCAATTACAGAAAATGGTGTAACGTGCAGGATTAAGGATTATAGCATTCCACTCAGAGTGAAATCTACACTAATATTCATTCTTGATGCATTCTTAACTGTGAATAAAAAAAACTGAAGATGATTATGAAGGAAGAACGTAATTTACAAAAAATAAAAATCAGTAGGTAGTCACACACCCCATGATCATAAGAGAATCATCATTGAAAGTTGTATTACAATATATCTTCCTTGTGTAGTTGTGCATGTTTATGTGTACATGTGTGTGTGTTCATATCTGTGCATATGTATATATATATATATATATATATATATATATATATATATATATATATATATTAATATATATATGTGTGTGTGTGTGTGTGTGTGTGTGTGTGTGTGTGTGTGTGTGTGTGTGTGTGTGAGAGAGAGAGAGAACGGAATTTTTTCATATTCAAAATAATTATTATATTTTTAACTAGTTACTGTTGCCAGTCTTATCAATATAAATTCTAATATAAATGACTGGTATCACCGCCACCACT